GTGTGAATACAAACAAAAAAAAAAATTATAAAAGAATACCCAAAATAGAAACAATGTAATCAAAGATTCAAAGCATCCTCAATGCTAGACTTACCCAAATTTTATCTCTCTTTCCCTACTTCCTTCACCTCATCTTCTCTTTTCTCTACATCACTTTTCATTAACATTGTTATCTACCCTACCAATGATAGTTTTTTGCTTCCTACAATGTTAGGCTTGCCTAAAACTTTTTCTCTCCTACTCCCTCCTTGCGTTATATAAGTGAAATGTTTCCCTTGTGCACGTATGCCAATGTAAAATTTTGATTAATAATATCTTTAATTATCAATAAATAAAGTTTATAACAATTGAATATCAATAAACTGTTCATTGAGATAATTCCAACAAGTACACAAGACTATTAATTTTTATGTATGAATTACAAATATTATTAGTCAAGTTGAATTAGATGAATAATGCAAAAAATCAAATCATTTCACTTATTTAAAACACAGAGGCTTCATTTAATATAATCATGACAAGTGTCGGCTATTTATTAGACCTAAGTAATAAATAAAACGAGTAGCTGTTAGAATCATGTACCTTTTGTCAAAAAAAAAATCATGCACCCAGAGGTGCCAAAACCTAATCTGACCCACTCAAACCGAAACCAACCTGAAAAAATATTTGATTTATATTTTTATTGGACACAAAAATTTAGCAAGACTCAAATTTTAAATTAGATCTGATCCGACCTCACCAGACTCGACTCGGACACCCGAATTGACACCTCTACATGCACCCGCAAATCACATGTACATGGCATAACAATTTGGGAGGGTGCTCCAATTTTTGAGCATCCCCAAAAATTTGTATTTGGGCAACTTACCCACAATGGTGGGAACCAAAAAAGAGGAGAGAGTATGTCTTTTAGGAGGGTGGTGTTTAGGCGTTGCAGATGCTCTTAATATGCAAATTCTTAAAAAGGAAAATGATGCAATTTAAAAAAAAATAGAGAAAATATCTAATTCAAATGAATTTTTCGAAAACATTGGACACTCTAAATTACCAAGGGTATTATTTCAAACAATGAAAAAAGATATTACATTTGATTTTAGAATTTAAAAATTCAATCCCTACATAAGCAAACTGACAAATGAGATTTGAGACTTTAAGTTCAATCGCCATGTAGCTAATGAACAACATATAGTGATTTAAGATTTGATTACTTTAAAAGCAAAATATAATCTTTTAATATTAAGTAGTTTATCTAAATATCTGACAAGCCAGAAAAGTATTTCATTTTAAGTTTATTAAACTCAAGTGTCATATAACATATAAGTAATACTTCCTCCATTTCTATTTAGTTGACGCGTTTGATTTATGCACATATATTAAGGAGAGGTGAGAGATGATGAAAATCAAGTGGGGTAGCTTGTAAAAAGCAAGGTAAAAAAGTTACCCCAAAATGAAGCGTGTCAACTAAAAAAAAAACTTTCTAAAAAGAATACGTGTCAACTAAAAAGAATCGGAGGTAGTATCATTTAATGGGGTTGCATTTTAAATTACCCCCTAAAAAATTGTTTTCCAATGGTATCTTATACATATGTCAAGGATAAATCAAACAAAAACTCAAGACGTGGGATCATATCCTGTCTACATGACTAACCCTTGCGGTTCTCTGTACAAATAACAAAAAAAAAAAAAAAAAAAAAAAAAAAAAACTACTTATACATCAATAATCAATCAATAACTATATACTAAAAGACACACCAGTAATGACACGTGTTATCTCTTGGTGTGTCCTTAGTGTGTGTGTGTGCGTGTTTTTTTTTTTTTTTTTTTTTTTGTGGCTAAACAAATTTCTATTAAAGAAGTAAATTTTATACAAAAACAACTCCCTAATCTTATACATTATAATTACTTAAAATAAAAAGAATTTCTTTAACACAAATCTTTAGCCATAAGAAAACCATTCCTAACATAATCATTTGCAATACGTTCAAAAAAAAAAAATAGAATCCATAATTCTACTAACAAGAAGGTATGTATATAGTAAGTGCTTTTAGAAAGTTAACAACACATATTTTTATCATCCCTTTAAAAATTATGTTCATAATAGAAAGTCAATAATAAATAATTTATTTATACATATACTAAACTATAGGTCTCTAACTTAAAAAAAAAAAATAACACATATCAGTATCTTATTAAAAATCTCTAGCGTTTTTTCCTTCTCTGATTATAATGATTTGTTAAGTATTTGTTTTAATTATAAGATCACTTACTTAATGTAAAAGTTAGGCCATGTTTGATTCACCTTAATTTTGCTGAACTGAAATTATTTTTACTGAACTGAACTTATTTTTACTGAACTGAACTTAATTTTACTGAACTGAAATTATTTTTACTAAACTTAAATTATTTTTACTGAAATGAAATTATTTTTACTGATTTTCTATTATAATTCTTCCTTAAGAAAACTGAATTTTACTGAACTGAACTTATTTTTACTGAACTGAAATTATTTTTACTGAACTGAAATTAATTTTACTGAACTAAAGTTATTTTTACTGAACTGAAATTATTTTTACTTAATATTATTTTTTTAAGGTAAAAAGAACAGGGCCTTAGTTAGAATATAATATTACATAACCCCAAAAAACCTCAGGAAGATCAATATTTTTTGTTATTGCCATTTTTCAAATATATTGATAGTACATTTAACATCCAATGCTTCTTATAGAAAAAAAAATGTCCAAATTAATTTATTTTATTAATCTTTTTATTAACTATTTTTTTTTCTTACACATACTAATAGACTTTATTTCCCAATCCAATCTTTAAAAAATATTTTACAATTATTATATCGTTACAACACATGAATTTATATCTATTATATCATTCATACTCCGCATTTTGATCTAAATTTGACTATAAATATTTTTTATATCAATAAAAGCTAATTATTATAATAACCGAATTAACCTAGTATCTCAGTATTTACAAGTTTGTCATCATACATGTTTCAAAATATAACCCTATTGATTAAAATTTCACCAAATGAAAAAGTTTTAAAGCTCGGGTAACTAAAGTAGAATTATTAAAACCTCGTGTCATTAGAGTGAAAGTATTTCAACTAAGTTCGCTCCAATGTGGTAATTCTCCTTATTCTTCTTTCAATTAAAATTAATTTTCAATTCACATCAAAATCGAGTTATCTAAATTTATCGACTATAACTAATATTTTATACTTCTTATTTACCTTAACTCATCTCATAATAATAATGCCTAGTAAGATAATTCACATCGAGTCAGGTGTCGTTTGGTTGCTATGGGAAATTACTTTCCCCATAGCAATTTGTATTTCATGGGAATTAAATTCTTACATCAAAATCATGGAAATTGTATAAAATTGTTTGGTTGGCATCAGGGAAGTTGCAAATCATGGGAAGTTTGACTTACCTAGGGAGGTTAGGTAGACCTGGCAATCCTGACCCAGACCCGATGACCCGACTTGAATGACCCGACCCATGACCCGAAATCGACCAGAAACCAGTAACCCAAAATTGACCCAAAACCCGAATTAACCCGACCCGATCCGAAGTAGAATTGACCCGACCTTGACCCGAAACCCGAAATGACCCAACTCGAAACGACCTGACCCGAAGTTGACCCGGGACCCAAAACGAATCGACCCGAAGTTGATCCGAGAACCGAAATTGACCCGACCCGAAAATGACCCGACCTTTAACTTCTTTTAGCAGATAATTATATAAGTTATAAAAAGTTTATATTAGGAAATTATACATTAAAATAGACCCAACAACATCTTATAGGACTACATTGACTTTCATATAATAGCTAAAAAAGATGGTTAAAGTGAGATGTGTGAATAGTAGAAAATGTCAAATCGTTAAGAGTAATTTGGGACGGAGGGAGTATAAGAATAATTCAAAGAAATTATTACAACTATGACAATGATAATAAGAGTACATATTAATTAAAACTAAGATTAATAAGAGAGTGAGGTATAACTCAATTAGTTAGAGCATCCCTCTTAGTTTCAGGAGATCCTGAAAGTGATTCTCAGTCTAAACACACAAAAAAAAAGGTTAATAAAAGTCAAACAATTACTATAATCCATGAAAAAATAGCCTTAATAAATAAAGTGAGTTTTTTCGTCAAAAAAAATAAATAGGTAAATATATGTACAGAGTTGAATTTAACCCAATGAATCACCCGAATATGACTCGACTCGAAGTTGACCCGAAAATTGGACCCGAAAATTGATCTGACCCGACTCGAAAATTGTCCCAACCCAAAATGACCCGACCCAAACTTGACCCGATCCGAAGTTGATCCGAAGTGTTGACCCGATACCCGATCCGATTATCAGTCGACCCGAAACCCGATGTGACTCGACCCATACCCGACCCAAATAACCTATTTGCCAGGTCTAGGGTTAGGTAATTAACTTCCCATGTTTTGTGGGAAATCACAATTCCCATGAATTTACAATTCCCTCATTTACACTTTTTATTGTCAACCAAACAACTCATGCATTTTCAAATTCCCATAATTTTCCACTTTTCCCAATTTCTTTGTGTAACCAAACAACCCCGTTCTCAATTTTAACAAATCTAACCGGTTCGCCAATTACCGCGTTCCCCGTAACCTCGGAAGCAACCCCCTGAGGCGTCACCGTCCACTTTAACCCCCCTTATAAAAAAAATATCCTATTCTCCTCCTCAAACCTTGCATCTCACACACTACCTTATATAGACAAACAAACAGTTTCACACCATACACACTCACACACTCTACGTCAAAACCCAAAAACCAAAATCATCAAATAAAAAAAAATTAAAAAATAAAAAAGAAAAAAGAAAAACACATTTTATTTTTAAAAATTCAAAAACCTCCAAACTCCCATAAAAGCCAACACCTCAACATCTTTTCTTTAGTTTTCTCCAAATATTCCACCAAAATTTCCAAAAAAAAAAAAAACAAAAAAAAACATGAGAGCAAGCAACCATTTAATAGGAGTAGTAAACTTCCTAACATTTCTACTCTCAATCCCAATATTAGCAGGAGGAATATGGCTAAGTAGCAAAGCAAACTCAACAGATTGTATAAAATTTCTTCAATGGCCATTAATAGTAATTGGAGTTTCATTAATGGTGGTTTCATTAGCTGGTTTTGCTGGCTCATGTTACAGGAACACTTTCCTCATGTACCTTTACATGTGGGCAATGTTCTTCATCATCGCCGCCTTAATCGGGTTCGTTGTTTTTGCCTATGCTGTGACGGATAAAGGTTCGGGTCGACCCGTTTTAAACCGGGCTTATTTGGAGTATAATTTGGAGGATTATTCGGGTTGGCTTGAAAGGAAGGTTTCGGATCCGGGTTATTGGGCTAAACTTAGCTCTTGTATTAGGGATTCAAGGGTTTGTAGTAAAATGGGTCGGACTTTTCATGGTGTTCCTGAAACTTCTGATATGTTCTTCTCCAGAAAACTTAGTCCTATTGAGGTAATTTCTTCATTTTTTTATAATTTTTTAATTAAAGGGTATTAGTTTTCTTAATTAAAAGGGTAATTAGTACTACTCCGTAGTATACAATTTAGTTGTTAATTACTACCCTTTTAATTTTTGCTGAGCTTTACTTATTTTATCTGATTATTTGATTGGATTCAAGGGTCTTTTTATTTATTAGAAATATATTTAGATTTTAAGTTTAATTTTGTTTGGATTAAAAATTACAAGTTGTGTCACTATTTGCTGTCTTTTTGGTTGATTGGATTTTTATTTTTATTTTTATTTATTAAAAATAAAAAATGATGAATGCAATAGTTTGTTCTGAGGTGTATGCTACAAATATTGGAAAAATTTATGGCGGTTGAAATATAACTTTAGCAATTACTGACACAGTATGCTACATTCAATACATACTTTAACCCTCAATTATTTTAAAATTTGCAAACCTCAATTATTTAAAATTTTCCAATCTAAAATGATTGGGCAAAAGAAAAGTGAAACTGTTTTTCTTCTCTTTCTGTTTTATTGGGTCATCCAAATTATTATGAGACTTTTTTTTTTAATAAAAATATTGATTCATATGAAATTTGGTTCAAATTAAATCACGTCGGGGTTGTTTTGGGTCGGGTTGCATACTCACATTTGAGTCGTTGTACTTGTACCCTTGCTTTAAGATTTTTTTATTCTAGGATCGGGTTTAATAAGATTCGAGACCTACTACTCCGAATTAGTTAAAGTTTGAGTCGGGTAATTCAGATCTGATCTTTATTGGTACGAAATAATTGTTGCAGTACAACAAGTAAAATTCAAAAAAGAAATTAATGTTGCGTGAATGGGTAGTAATACTAATAAATATCTTAACTTTTAAGTTAGATTGGTGATTGATTTTGTTTATAAAAGTTTATTATTAAGAGAGTATGGTTCATCATGGTGAAAGCTTATCTGTTAATAAATGCAAAATTTGGGATGCATCACATGGGATGAGGTGTGGAGGGCCATGCACCATCACTAAATTAGAGATGAATGAAGATATTTTAAAACATTAAAATAGGAAATTACTTGGACTCTTGCATGTCTATATAACGTAGATTAATGATTTAGTCAACTAGGTATAACAATATATGATTATATAATACAAATATATGTGTTGAAAATTATTGCAAGATCGAAAAAATGAATCCTAATTGTTAGCTTTTTTAAAGACCAAAAAGATGAAAAGTTTATCCTACCCGTCACCACTAAACTAAAGATTTATATCCATATAACTATAATTACAACAAAGTTACACTTGGCTAGTGGATATGGCGTCCATCTCATTAGATTTTTCGTGGACTATATAGGTTTACACTCGGGTTTATAATAGAATTTGAAGCTCAAGCAATCCTTTTGTTTTTGAGGAGGTTCGAGTTTTCGTAAAATGATGATATAAACAAATATTTGTGTGTGGGGCTAGGTGTATAGAATATTCCACTAATAAAAGCAAGCCTTAACTACTAATATTACTATTACGTATGGGATATTTTTTTTCTTTCTTTTTTGCTTTTGAATATGTGATTGAATATACATGCATTTGCTACTTTATTGTGTCTATTTCACGGCGAAAAATAGTAAATTGAGGTATTTGGAATCTTGCTGAGAAGGCATTCGTTTGCCCTTTGTTTGTTTTCTAGTTCATGGAGTCTAAAATAGTCCGTTTCACTTTACCTACCTTCTTTACGCTTCGTTTAATTTGACCCCAACTTGTTTCCCAAAGGCCACTTTATCTAAAAATACAAATGAATATATATTGATAATTTGATATATACCAATAATTATACACGAGTACTTCTATTTGAAGTTTTTTTATTAGTATTATATACGTGTCTACTTGTTAAGTGCATGACTTTTCATGCAAAAATATAGAGGAGAAAATAATTTTCTTACAAAATTAGATGATGTTTTGCTCATCTTATTTCATTTAATTTAAAAAAATAAGTGTTAAAAGGATTATATTTACAAATAAAACAAGTTTAAATTAAGATAAAATTAAACTAAACTACACTTATTCTTATTATGCTTTCCCTCCATGTTGCAATTCGTTTTGGAAGGGAGAAAGTAGTAAAAATTTATGCACATGTTCTTTCAAAACTCGAAAAGATTTTATCTTGTAGTTATTTTTATACTCCTTCCATCTCTACATAAAATTGTCTTTAAATAAAAGTTTCCTATTTTATTTGGGCAAAGGGTTTGTCATCTACTAATTTTTAATCCACTTAATTCAAGTATCCTACCACTTTTGTTACTTTTAGTTGCAATAAAGGAATACTCATTATTTATGAGATATAAAATATTTCTTTGTTGCAACTAAAAAGCAACGAAAGTAGTTTTTTACTCCGACTAAGTTTTCATCTACTTACCCTAAACAATAAATTACTACATATTTATACTATATTTTTATGTTGATCTTAATCAACAATATCCTACTACAATTCATATTCTAAAGTTACGTGCCCAAAATTGAATATTGTATATAGAAACAGGGGAGTAATTTTCATTTAATTCTAACCAAATGTTGAAAGGACAAATGAAGTATAGTTTAGTCAAGTGTTGGCAAGATGTCATACACTTCACGTATCTAGCGAATAATGTGCAGAAGAGAAGTAAATAGTCAAAGTAACGCTTTAAAAAAATCCCTATTACATGATTTGGGTTGGTGAGATGTCATAAACTCATACGAACACTCATACATCATGCTAATCAATCAAGACAAAGGTCAAGTGAGATATTATAGCACTTGGAGAAAATTTGATTTGGATAGATTTAACAATATCATGATAACTATGAGTTTACTCACTACATAATTCTTGTAGATATTTTAGTTTAAACCCACACCAATGTATGATAGGTCAACGAGGTGGAAAATGTCATTTAATTAAAAGATTAATGCTCTTAAAGTTAGAGTTAGGTAACTTATGGCCTATTGTTGGGCTTTTCTCTTGAATAACTTATGGCTTTATTGGCATATAGTCATGAACTTATTATTGATAAAATAGTGATTTTAGATAAATTCATGTATATATATAGTATTAATATCCTAGTTCAAGCTTTGTTTAGAATTTAAAGTCATCATTGAAATACTGCATATTTGTGATGTTTTGGACAATATAGATTTGGATCAAATCATATTGATAACACAATTATCAAGCAAGGCTTAATCCATCGAGTAAAAATGTTTGTATTAAGGTTGTGATATAAAACCTCACTAGAAGCACTTTGGGTTAGGGATTGGGGATTCTGTACCCTTCAGTCCACTCCCTAAGGGTTTAGCCCACTAATATAAATTTGTTGGACTGGTGAGATGTTATGGATCCTTCTTCTTACCTTAAAAAAAAAAAAAAAAAAAAAAAAGTTGATGCATCTATAATTCTATATAGAGGTTACTTTGATGAATTCACAAATAAATTATTGCGATGCATCTATAAAGTCTAATTTGTAACTGAAAATAAGATATATGAAGGACTATATAAGGTGTTAAATTAAAAAGTGATTACAGTACTAAATTGGGCCTTTTCTAGTTGAGGACTATATAAGGTACATATATTCTAACGCTCTAGTGGGCCACTCTTTACAAACAATATAACACATACAGTTGCAGACTTGCAGTTCCATGAAAATATGTTGAGAACTTTGCAAACAAAAATAACGATGCTTCCTGCATCATTAAAACGGTGTATTCTTGTTTTTTTCAAACACAGGAAAGTTGCCCATTACCCAATTTAGGTGATGTATGACTTCTTGAAGGGCCATATCCCATATGTTTGGCAACCCATATAGAAAAGTACCTCTAAGAGCTACCTAGTTGTTTCTATGTTCGTCATCCTTTTCCTATGAGTAAGGCGAAATAGCTAACATGTTTACTACTACGTATTTAACACCAAATAAAACTATCGGAGTAGAGTTTTTTTTGTTTCTCTCTTATAAGCAACTTTATGTCGGTTTTTGTTACTCCGTAGGTATTTTAGTGTCGATTTAGAGGGTGTTACGTGAACTTGTTAGTTTAATTCTTTTTTGTTTTCAACTACAACATGAAAAGACTTGGGTCCCAGTACTTTTCTTTTCTTGTGGCTTACATCAGTTACTGCTTAAACACAATCTATCTTTTTCCTGTAGCTCTTTTAACCCTTGATTTTCCTGTCTTCAAAACCATATGTATTCCTGTAAGCAACAAATCTTCTTTTTACAATCAAATTTGGCACTAATTTCATTTCGACACAGTCATTCTATTATTCATTCATGGAATACAATCTCTTTAATCCAACCACATATGGCCCTACATTAACCAGAAGCTTATTATACCATTTATTACTGTGGCTCATTAATATTATATGATCCATGTAAAAAATGCTATTTATATATTTCTTACTATATTTACCTGAAACTGGATTAGCTCAATTCTGGCTCGAGTTGTAAATGGGTTGATTCGACCCTTAAATAAGTACTGTATGTCGAATTAAATCCATAATTAACTAATTTACTGCAAACCTGAAAAAATGACTCGTTCTAAACTGAAACCAAAACTGGATCGATCAATCTATTTTCTAGCTTAATTGCTTCTGGAGAAATGACTTGTATGTAAGATTAGCTACTGGTTAAATAAGTATGTTTTCTTCGTATTATAACTTTAGTACTAATGATGCTTACAATATCTCTGACTCTCTGTGTATCTCTGGCCATTTTGGCAGTCTGGGTGTTGCAAGCCACCAACAGATTGTGGTTATGGATATGTGAATGAAACCTTATGGGGACCAGGAGGCGGGCTCGTAGGAACCAACTCAGACTGTGCAAGATGGAGCAATGACCAACGACAGTTGTGTTACGGTTGTGACTCCTGCAAGGCTGGTGTTCTCGCAAGCCTGAAGCACAGCTGGAGAAAGGTGTCTGTGATCAATATCGTCGTACTAATACTCCTTGTCATCTTCTATGTTATTGCTTATGCAGCTCTCCGAAACAACAAGAGGATGGACAACGACGAGTCCTATGGCGAAACCAGGATGACCAAGTCACATCCTACTGCAATGCATTTCTAAAACCATCTATCATTGTGGTATGTAGCGATTTCTGTTGTTTAAATATATTGGGACAGAAATGGGGTTGTATGTACGTTCTCCATGGCTTCATATTTGGCGAATGTCATTTTGTTTTTTCTCAAGGTTTTTTGTATGGAGGAATTGGTTTGGCGTATAGATTGTACAAGGGATGTACTTTATCATCAAGATATGTAACCATTTTGTGGATCTCCGAACTGGGGAGTGTATGAACTTTGTATCCATCATGAAATAGCTTAAATTTGTAGAAATATATGCTCTTTTGTTACATTTGGACCATTAACAAAGCTAAACTAATACACAGAAATATATCAATGTAGAGTTAAAGCGCTAAGAAACATGTTACTGCGATTAAGTGGTTATTTGGTAGACATAAAATTACACTGAAGTAAAATTTGTTAAAGATCAACTCAACAAACCTAAACAATATGATTGTAATTGAAAAATTAACAATTTTTTTATTACACCCCTAATCCTTTATTTGTTTGAATCGCTTAGTTATTGTTATTTTGAAATATTCATAGTTCCTCATAATTTCATGATGGATAATGGTTCTTACTCTTAATGTATTCTCATTTTACAAAAGTACTCACATGCGTCTATTCAATTAAATTACAGATACTTTATGCCTTTTTTCTCCACTAAAATTTACTTCTTCCGTTTTCTTTTAGATGCAACACACCCTTTAGCGCGGTAATTAAGAAAGACGGGTTTACGATATAATAAATTTTAAAATATGATGAGTAGTTGTTAGGAGTGTAATTTAGTGGGACATGTGCTTTAAATAAGGAAATAGTATAGTTTTTCCTAGTAACTTTCCTTTTATAATGACATTTCCTTTTAGGGAAGTGTTGCAGGTAAAAGAAAACGGATGAAGTATATGACTTTTTTTTTTTTTTTTTTTTTTTGAAACCAAAATCTATATAACTCATTATTCTCATTTGCTAAAAAGAATATTTATAGAGGACACGAGGATTTATACAAGACAATTACAACATAACAAGATGCAATTCAATACACTTTCTATAACAAAATTATCATTATTTCTCCTAGTGTTCTCAAAGTATGGATTGGGTCAGAGGAGACTATACTATCAATCAGACATTGCAAGAGCAAAGTTTTGGTCTTCGGGCTTAAGCTGAGAGTTTGCATCCTTACACTCCAGTGAACATTTTCGATCGAGAGCATCCATAGTTTTCAGAGGCACTGGTATCATACTACCCTGTTCCGAAAAAATATTGCAACAAATATATTATGAATAAGTCACTTTTAACCAGTTCTTATTAGAATAATACATACGAAGAGACATGAAATGTACATCATACGACGAACCGAGAAACTTTGCATCAGATAATCTGTCTAGGGTTTGTCGAAAACTCATTAATTAAGCAACTTCACAAGAAAGCCCTATGATCAAGATATGCAATATTCTAGGAACCTGAAGAATGAGGTCTTACTACTCCCTTAACTAAAGACTCAAAGCTGCATCTACTTATTCACTTATATACTCTTGTTATTAACGTGTGACTATTAATATTTCATCGGTGTGTGTGTATGTTTAAGTGACAAGTAATATCGAGTAAGAAATGAGTAAAAGAGGGAACAACTTGCAACATAGAAAATCGACAAAAGTTGCTAAATGAGATGACAATGCACCAAGGCACAAATGCTTTTGTCGTATGGATGCCAGCTATCTTTGTAGGTAAAAGTTTTGGGAGGGGGAGGGGGGTGATATTCAAGTCTTAGGATTAAATCCCGTCTACACATCATTGCCCTTGTGATTCTCTCTATACCAAATGAGCATAGATTATAGTTTTATAAATCTCAAACAAATTCCTTGTGTTCAATGATACCAAATATAGGGAAAAGGGTATCAAATTTAAGGCAAAATAGCTTTTGTCCTACCAACCATTCAACCTACATACAAAGTAGCAGCAGGCCAGCAGCATCAAATTGCAGTGTGCAATGCAGTACTTGCAACAATGCAAATCAACGCAATATTATAACCACATTATTTCAATCCTTCATAATAATCAAGGACACAAATACAATTAGAATTCACCATAAGACTCAGTGAGATTTGTACATTTCTCAAACATCCCTCCTATCACTCTCTTTCTAAGTAGGGCCATCTCGGGAGATCAAAACGTACGTTACAGTAAAACGCTAGCAACCGTTTCTTAACATCCCATGACCCGTAAAACTAAGAATAGTACTGGATGGAAGATTGGAAAGACTGAAAGAGTACTTATCTTTAGAAATGACCAACAGGCTAACATACAAGAAACAAGCCTAGCTTAGAAAGCCGCTATAAGGCCTCACATAGGTCGCATTCAAATAGGTTATCTAGCCGATGTATTGATAATACAATCATGCCCTTTTATGAGCCTAAGAGGAGACTTGAACTCTTTCAATAAGGATCTAAAGGTTACATTTTTGCTAGCACCTGAGGATAAGTAGACCTGAATATGGTCAGAAATTATCATTGTAATCTGGTGGAAAACCCCCATGTACAAATATCTTAATCTCCAAGCCTTATATTACAAGATGCTGATTTTCAACATCCATTTTAAAGGACCAATTAACAGTATTAAAGGCAGAAAATTCACCAAATTTCAGGGGAAAAAAAATAAAAATCCAGCATGTTCTCACAAAGTTCTATTAAAATGAACAAGTTCTCAAGTGCCTGGAGATTATTGGTTAAAAAGCAGCAAGCACACAAAACTTTTGCAAGTTCAGGGTAAAGCCGGAACTGCCAGGTTATAATGAGGTTATCATACTTCTGAACGACTGAACTTAATGTTAAAAGAGTAACAGAATGTTACAGGTGAGGTGAATAAGCGCGTTCTATCTGCATCAAATTTAAATAAACAAATCCTACCTCATTTGATGATGAATAAAGCTGTTCCTCAAGCTCTCGCAACTTTTCAATGCTCATCCCATGCCACTCGTCAATCCAGGCAAAAATATTGCTGTGTGTTTCAAGAAAAAGCGCCCTCTCACCCTTTCAAAGAGTTTGCAGGTACATAAGTATGCATACAAAGTACAAAAAACAGGCCAACTTATTTCAGATTAACCATAATAATAATAATATTCAGACATTTAAAGACACAACACTTGCAACCTTGCCATTAGCTAAAACCTTCCAGAAATGCTTTTGCAAACTACATGTATTCAGCTTGAAAAACTAACAGCATTAACGAAAATCTCAACAGCTAAAAGTAAGTGCCCTTGTATAAAGTAGTACTATCACACTTAACTGATTAGAGAAAATTGGTGATCATATGTTTATATTTGAGGTCAACATACGTTTGTAAGAAAATTGGTGATCATATGTTTATGTTTGAGGTCAACATATGTTTGTAACTGTGAACCAATGTGTCATATATCGTACAAGAAATCAAAGTTGTTGTAACTTCAGTGAGTCTCGAGACAGAGTGCTGATTAACTAGTGAGTCGTAACATGGGGTCACTTTTATTCTATACAAGACCCATTGCAGGCCAGAAAATAAATTGCACTTCGACCTTTTAGCCTAAGCACTACATTATATACAAAGAATATGTTACTTATGACCTATACAAAAGGTTTAACGTACCAAAGCAGTATCTCTTAGGTCATGAGATATTCAGCTTAGTTGCTTATTGACTTTAAGATGGTTGTGATAAGAAATCACATGATAATAAGATGAAAACTTTAAACTATCAGTTTCTTCGCAATTTAGATAGTACTCCTTTTTTGCCTGTGTTAGCCGATCATATCAATACTACCAAACCTATCATAACCTTAGTTCTAAGGAAATCAGGTAAAGACACTGCAACTATAACTGTATGTAAAAGTACAATAAGGATTGATGCCACTTACTGCCATCAGCACTTGCTCCAATCGTTTACCAAAGCCCCAGTATGGAGCATCAACCGTTACTAATTTATATGCTGTCATAACAGGGTTGCAGCGATCCTGCATACATCGACAAATGCCCAAATATCAACATTTAAGAGCCTTATAAAAAACTTTTAGTAATACTATGGAGTATATGATCTATGTATTGGGCATTAACTTAACAATCAATTTTCTATAAAATTATGGAGTATTTAAATTTATACAAGGATAAATGAGTTGATGGTACGAGGTCCTACTTCAATCTACAGAGTGAGAAATTGTAGACTTACTCTCCAGCCTTCCACTAAAGGTCCACGATTGGTCCTTGTTGATTTAAATTTGGACAAATCGACATTACAACTACCAACCAAATAGCTCCAATAGTCCCTAACAGATGATGCAATATCAATAATTTCCACCTGCCTCAATGCCAGCTGATCTTTATTTAGACCGTGTACCTGTAAAATTACAACTACAAGTCAGTGGTCCGAGGCCAGTGCAGTCCACAAGTGACTTGGAACAAGATATACATGCATTGCTGATATCACTTTTACTCTTTTAGCATAGATGTCCTCTTTACTTATTAAGAAGCGTGTTTAGACAGTTGATGTTATTTTTTCACTATGTAGCTCAAGTATGTAATCACGAGTCCATATGAAACTAGAATGCATAGAAAGTCTGCTATAGCAACAAGTTCAATAACACCTACATTTTCTGATTTTCCATTATCTGCCACGTGAATCGTATCAATAGTAAGAAGCAGCTTGCTCAAGCTTGAACACTGTATAATAAGTACTTAGTAAGCAGATGTATCAACAAAGAGAAACAAAAAAGAAATTCAAGATTATATCAGCAGGATAATTACCTTAATCACTGGAGTTCCAGGCCAGGTCCAGTAGCATATAGACAGAACATTCATATCAGTATAAATTATAAGAATAACAAGTTTGTGAGAAGAAAACAAAATTCTGAATATATGGTAACCTGATTTGCATTTTGGATATGCATTCCAGGCTTCCTCTTTTAGAAGGAGGGAATCTGCTGGTGCAAATGTGGTAAGCCAAGAGGGGATTTTGCTGCAGAAGCAGAATATATCGTAAATGAAGTGACTAATAGCTAATGCCATGCAACTTAAAGAAGAACCAGAAGTTAATAAGGGCGACTTCTGATTTTAAGTTTTCTACAATGATAAGAAGCAATGTAATATAAAGCAGCCATGACTATGAAAGCATAATTCATGCATGGTGCACAGGCAGCAGAGCTGCCAGAAAATTAAACTAGTAAAAGGTTAATAAGGAGAAGAAAATGATTGAGTAAATGAGTAAGACGTAATAAATAATAAGCAACCTACTACAATTTATAGCTTGTAAGAAGCTAGTGAAAAATTAAGACTTGTTCTAAAAGAAAGCAAAAGCTCCCAGACAAGATTAACTAATGAAACTGGATGCAACTCAAAGTTTATGAACGAGACTGTATCAGAAGGTGATAGGTTCTAAAATAGAATGAAAATTTACATCATGTTCTATTGATTAAATCAAAATACGACTGTAAAGAAGTCAGAGAATTCAGCTAAGCATCATGTAAACATGTCCACAAAGCACGTATGCACATGTAAGGCGAAAATCAAATGAAATAAAATGTCCTGTTTGAGATATCTGTAGCTGTAAGACATGTTAGTTCTAGTATTAAAATTTGGTGTGGCTCATTGAATTAAGTTTCTCCTGTTTACGATTTATGGCCAAATTTTCACATCATTCCAATGCATTAAAGAAAGATATGGAGAAAAGAGTAGGAAGCACATAATGTGCACACATAGATGTTTGCTAAAGCACAGGGGTCTTCAAATGATCCACACATACAGTGTCAGACAATCTTTATAGGAACCTCGAATGATCTACTAACTTATTTACAGTTAGAGTTTAATAATACCTCTGAAAACTATATACTTTTGATGTGTAATGACCCTTTCCAATTAAGTTATCCTCGAAAGGTCTATTCTCCAGGACATCAACTCCTTCTGTATTTGTTGTATTCTCCTGTTGCATTTTTAGAACCATATACATTTGTGCAACCTCATACTGCATATGACAGAAAACATGATAGGAAAATAACATTATTAGACCAACTCGAGACAAAATTTCAGAAACTCAATCAGTAGAAATTGGACATTCTCAATCTCTATATTTTACCTCAGCTAGTGACATAGGCATGATAATTCGACTAAGGGACACACCAAATTAAACCATCAACAGGTCAGAGTTAAGGAAGTTTTTGGAAATATATTGATCATGAAATGTATCAAATAGAAAATAGTAGTAATAACTTTATTTAGCAACTGCAAGTAACAAGCAGAATTTGAATAAAACCGACCAAAACATGAATATGTAACAGCTATTATTGCACTAGAATACCATATCATATTTATGTTCAAATCACATAGATTTATTGAAATTATTTCATAACCGTATAAAACCATGACATTTTCATCTCATGTCTTATAAACTTTAAATGATAAGCCTAATTACTCTAAAATGCTTAACAGTTTAAAAAAAAAAAAAAAAAAAAAAAAACACAACAAAACTCCCTCCTTATGAAATGAATTGTTACCACAATAATACAAATTGAACTAGTAATGTAACAACTAAATCTAAACCGGGGTAGTAACTTTCTCAGGGTAATAAAAGGAACACAAAGGCAAATTCTATTAGCAACAACAAAGATGATGGAAGATTATTATGCTTTTATGCAACACTTACAATACAAAATAAAGAATGCGATCATTGCTAATCAACTACACAACAATTAAAGGAGAGAACTATATCCAATAAAGCTTTAAAAGTGAAGCATAAATAAAAAGTAATTATAGAGGATACAACTCCTTAATTTGAACCATATTTCTTTATTTCACCAAAAAAAATTGTACTTCTTGTAACACAAACAGCTCAATGCCTGTGATCAACCAAAGTTACTTTCTTGCAACTGGGTTTTTCAAGCAAAAAAATTAGAAATATAAGATGGGAAACTTTTAAAATTCTATAAATTATTAATATTCAAAGAATATGAGATGAATAAAATAATTTTTGAATTTTTTGTTTTTTTGGTTTTTTTTGTTTTTTGTTTTTTTGGGTTTTCTTCTAGAGAGGTAAGAAGAAAATAATGAAGAGATTATTGGAATATTATTGGTTTATTAGTACAAATAGTCAGCTGTTTGTTTTTGGGTCGAAAAGATTATGAACCGTTGATTAGTAAATTTCTTAGCGTTACAAAATTGGTGTGTGAAGGCGTCAAAATATGAGGTTTGCAAAAATAGTAAGGTTAAGTTGCCCAAATAGATTGTTTTGGAGTGAGTAAAACTTGACTATAATTTTCCATTTTTGTGTGTTTGAGATGTGGTGGAAGTTATTACATGTGCCCATCTTTCATGAAACTTCTGAGACACTTTCTGTTATGTTGATGTATGAATTTGTATGGGTGTGAATGTGTGATGTTCTACGAGTTTGCTCGTGGCCACACGGTTTTAAGATGAGCATGAACTTGTAAGAAGAAATATTATAAATTCTTGACTTTCTCTTAGGTTCTATTTGGCGAAAATTAGCGGCAGTAACGGACTAACGGCCTAACGGGTAGATTTTAGCGGTCAAGTAGCGAATAGTTGTTAGAGTAGCGAGTAATGGGTAGAGGTTAGCTGTCAGTGTAGCGGTTTTGATTTTTCAATGAATTTGTATAAGTCATATTAAGTTTGGATTTGGTATTATATTTACTATGACCATCAATTTCCTTATTATGTGTTAACGAAATTTAGCTCATTTATTTATTCGGGTAACCCCTTTTATATTATTTTGATTATCAAAAAATTAATAACATACACCACTTATATAGTAGTAACCCCATTTGTTAATCGTCATAAGGGACTCGTAACCCACATTACTCAATGAAGTGCTTATATGATAAAGTGGTCATACAATGGTGTGACCGACCACTTATAAAAATTTGTAAGTTTCTTATATATATTAATGAAGCATTTTTTGTCAAAATTTTTTACCAAGGAAAAATCAAAACATGAAGATCAATTTTTGATAAAAGGAGTATTTTCCATGCATATTCAACCCTTTAGGGTGTATCTTTTTTTTTTTTTTCCTGAATGGAATCTTAGGAGTATATCTTATTAGGAAAATAATATACATAGCCCTCAATTATTCAAAAAAAAAATATACATAGCCCTTAGGGCTATACTACACAGAAGAAGCTAAGAATAAAAAATAAAATGATAACATAACATTAATTACACTAATTTACGCGTGATTTTGTCATGCATTTCAAAATTAATACTGAGTAATTTAAAGAAAGATATTAAATGCTTATCCTTAGCCCTAAAGGCTATATATTGCACTACTTATCTTATTGTCATTCCCTCGGTTTTATTTATTTTTACTAAGTTAATTTAGCAACGCAAACCAACACACACAAAAAAAAACAAAAAAAAAAAAGTGAAAAAGGTACCATGCATGCAACATGTGGGTACTTTTGCTTTAAAATAGGAGACAGATAGAGAGTATATGTTTTATTAAATACTAGTTTGGTGTCCCGTACGATGCCCGATTTATTTATTGAATCAATATCTATATAATAATATTATTAAAACTCATGGGGACAACATGCTCACGACATGTGTCTCTCATATGCCACATATGCACTACATGTCATCCTATGTGTCATTTCTCTTCTCTCACCATATTGAATTGTATTAATGTTTAACGTTTTTTTAACAAAAACTATTCATTAGTCAAACTTTAATGCTATATAATACAGTAGTATTTGATTTAATTGAAAAACTTTTCATATTGACCCCTTATTATATTTTCATTTAATTATGGAAATTTTGCAAAAAAAAAACCCACCTTTTAAATTTTGTTTTCTGCATATAACCACCTTTTAAAAAAAATGTTGCAAAAGACCACCAATTTTAAAAATTTTGTTGCATATTACCACTTTTTTAGCCAAATTTATCAATTGTTTTACATTGAATTGGTGGTAAGTTGCAACAAAATTTTAAAATTGTTGGTTTTTTGCAATATTTTTTTATAAGGTTATTTTTTTGCAAAATTTCCTTTAGTTATTAATATTATTCAACATTAACTCTTCTAAACTAATTTAATCAAACTTATAATTTATGATGATCCGGGGCATCGCCCGAGTCAATAACTAGTTATTATTATAACTCAAAGGTAAGGAGTGTCAATCCGCCATGTGTCATTTTTTTTTTGTTACATTTCGTCATGTCATCTCCATGTCATTCGAACCCAATAACAAAACAAAAAAAAAAAAAAACCTCCCATAAAGTTTGTAACCGACATTATTAATGCTACCATAATTGTCAATTATAGTGATTTATATATGTATTCAACATTAAAACATTTACTTAGCGGTTATAAAATGAAGTTAGCAGTTATAAAATGAAGCAATTCAAAGTGTTTTTTTTTTTTTTTTTTGTGTGTTGGTAATTACTATTCTAATTATTTGGACTCAATTGAAGTATTGGAATCATTAAATAATCATTACAAAAAACTGTTGAATTGCCTCATATTATAACTGTTAAATATTTAATGACTTAATTATGAAATTAATGGCTGAATTACACTTTTTTTTTTAATATTATAATCAAATTATTAAAACTTTAAATATTAGTACTTGACACTTATTACCCCATCATTATAAAATAAAACACTTTGCTATTGTGGTTGTGTGGTCAGAAATATCAAAAATTTGTTACAATAATCGCTCATCCGCTCTTAGTAAAATAGTGATGCATAATTTTCTATAGTATTGTTCGAGTAAAAAAGGGTAATTCTGAAGTGGCATGACTTTCTTAGCATCTTTTTTGTAAGAACATTAATTTGTATACATCATTAGTTTGTACAGTATTTGTTTAAATCTATATGCTATACTTATCTCCTTTACCAAAAAAAAAAAAAAAAAAAATGCTTATCTGTAGATTTATAACTATTGTATAGGTTGTACTATAAAAATTGTAATCTACCTTCACCAATAGTTTTTATATACTACTAATAAGGTTTGTTACTGTAGACACCCATTTGTGTCTCCCCAAAAACCAAATCCAGTGATGAGTACCTTTCGCGTCGAATCATAATCGAATGAAGCGAAAGTGTGGAAAGTTTAGTGTTGCGGATAGTTTTAATTTCTTTTCTCTTCTCTCTGTTTTTGAAAACTTATTTTAAGAAAACAGTCAATCCAGTTTGGTTAGTCCATGATATGGGTCCAATAATAGTGTAGTTGGATGGGGCTTGCAAAGACCTTTCCGACGATATATTATAAGCCCAATTCCGATGAATATTGAGGAAGTTATGGCCAATTTACCAAACTGGGCCCGGTTTGAGCTTTATATGCGGCCCAATGATCTAGGGGAGGGCCTAATATGATTTATCATTCCTAATGCAATTAGGAATGGTTTTAGTCTTCTAGATTCTTCTAGAAGGTTCTTTTCATTCCTAATTCAATTAACATTGATAAATTGACTTTTGTTGACTTTTCAGAGTTTTAATTAAAATCAAAGAGCATTTTCGAGGAAAATATACAATTTTATCCTCCTGAACGGAAAAACTTATCTGATTTTCGAAAACGCGTCAAAAACAGGCCTGGCGCCTAACTCCAGGCATTGGCGCCAGGAGCTAGGCTTGGCGCCTGGCGCCAGCCATTGGCGCCTGGCGCTAGTGTTGGCGCCTGGCGCCAATAGCCAATGGTTGGCGTCGATCTCTGTTTTGCGTGCGTCAATCTCGTTTTGCGTGCGCCAAGTGCTTTATTTTGATATTTTATCTTTTTGGCTGATTTTCTCTATAAATAACGTATTAAAAACTCCGTTTTCATTCACGAATTCTCACCTACAATCAGTTTTCGTTCGCAATCATTAATTCTCTAATTCTCTTTTAATCATTCACCAATTCTCATCAAGAATCTCTTGATTTCTCTCTCTCTCTCTCTTTTCTAAAATTGTTTTTCACATACAAAATTCCGCATTCATTAGATCTAGAAACACCTAGCCATATTCGAAGTTGCCTTCGCCCTAGACGTGAAAGGTTTAATTTCTGAGGGTTTGGTCCCAAATCTCTATTTCAATTATTTAATTTAATTGTTTTGATTACTATTTTCCTTGAAGTTACTAACGTGTGTATTTTGTTATTAGAAAGAGGTACGAAGCATCAAAGTAAGTGCTTTAATGGTTTTAATCGATGTTATGATCATGTTTATATTGTTATTATGATATTCCTAGTATCATGTCTAGGGTAATTTTAATATTAAATATGATTTTTATGATGCCTTTTATTCTCTTCCTAATATTTATGATTGTTAGTATCATGTTAGGGTTAAAGATTTGATTTTTATCGCTTAGTGACATGCTAGGGTTTGTTATTAATCTTGTTAGTATCATGCCTAGGATCTTGCTATTATTATTATGCTTTAATATTAACATGAACATGATTATGATTATAATGATTATAATTTATGATGATTATGAATATTATAATTATTATTATTATGATTAACATGATTATTATTATGGTTAATATGATTGTTATTATGATGATTATTTCATTGTTATAATTTTATTGTCATGATATTTATTATTATTATGTTGCTTGATATTTATTTAATATTTGATCACGCCTTTTATGCATGTTTAAAGGGAATTGGTACTTGTAATCAGGCTTAATAAGATAATTAACAATCTTGTTAGGATTAATTTGATTATAATTTCAAGTGATCGCCAATAATAGATTTATTTGTGCATTATATTCAACCAACATAGATAAACAAGTTTAGGGTTAATCCTATTGATTGCATGTTAATTAGAAAGCGCACATGAATACGATCAGAATAAAGTAGAGGCCTACTATTAGGGCAGGTTCAATCTCTTTTAGGTTGGATTTGTACCTTCATCCCCAAACCCTTATTTGGTTCAAGACCTTATGGAGTTGACGATCTCTTGGATCGTTAAGGGATGTAACCTTCACCCTGTGAACGGTTTACAAGTTCCTAAAACTTGTTGGCGACTCTTTTGCTCTATCTTCTTCCCTTTTGGACGTCACCGTACTTTAGTGTATGATCACAGTGGGGTTCAAGCTAGGGGTTAACGCTTGAATTTATTCCCTACAGTTACCGTTTAATTTTCTATCATATCAATCAACGGTGTGTGTAGTGTTAATATGTCATCTTACACAAGTTGATCATTTGTTGAAATATAGCTTACATTCTGTGAATAGATGTCATTCCTCTTAGATTTCAATTATTTATATGATTTTTTTTAAATATTTTTTTATTATTTTTTTTGTGTGTGTGTATGTGTGTTATTTGCATTATTGTTCAACTGGTTGATTTTGGTCGACACTTTACGAAGAGA